TCATCGTGAGAATGGTAAATCTACATATACCCGTACTTACGATGCAAAATTTCATGAATGAAGCATATGGAAATAACAAACAGTATTCAAGATCAAAAGTCCATAAAACAATACAAAATAGGAGCAAAGCAAACACGGACCTCCAGCAATCAGAGTTTGGAAGTAGATGAACAGGTCTAACTTTTGAATTGAAATCCTCTTAGGTTCAGAGAGTATACTAAGATATATTTTATGATAATATATAAATGATCTAATTTTCACTCATATTAATTAAGACACCACCATGTACCGGATTTAGACTACAAATTAGATGCACATTCCTGTGTAATACTCAAAACTGAATGGACAAAAGAAGAAAAACATTAAACGACACCAATCTCATTCCCCAGCTCTGAATATTTTTTTTCAAAAATATATAGCACTGGTATCAGATAGTTATTATTGATATTTTCAGGAGAAGGATATGGAGATAACGAACAGTATTCAATATCAAAAGTCCACAAAACAATACAAAACAGGAGCAGAGCAAACACGGAACTCCGAAACATGGAGGAGTGAGTATCCCCTGCTGACCGTTCACACCTGTTGTGTGCTCCTTGTCATGATCGGGAAATAACGGAAATATCAGTCGTCAATTCCGTGTATTAATAATGGACTAACAATAAGTATGAAAAACGTTAGTCAGTATTTGTCTCAATGATAAATTGTATTTGCTGACAAGGTCATTGTATCGAACATAGAACTTACGGAATGATGACTTTCAACGAGACTGTTGATATTCTTGTTTCATCAACTTGCTTATCAATAATTTACCTCGATTTAGAAATTGTTCATACGTAGAGCATGCCCTTGCGTATCGAATCTACTGAGATATATACACTCCGTATGCAGGTGATGAAGGTACATGTATATTGCTGCATAAGTAAGGGAAGTTGACGATAGAAAAGTTAAAGTCGTCACGTTTATCGTATAGTTTGGTTGTTAGATTACTATTAACGTCCTTTTCAAGTAAAGTATCCAAGTACGAAACAGATGTGACAGACTATGTGGTATCCTCAGGTAACACATACAAAGAGAAGTTCGTTGTTAGCAGAATGACCAGTTACAGGTAAACTAGGGATGCACTTCAATTTTCTGAATAACAATTGCATTTCCAGATGTAAATACGACCGGTCTTTGTCTTGTAAAGCAAGGTATGTGGTTTGACAAGTTTGACTTTCAAGAGAGACTCAAATACCGTAATTTGTTTCAATTAAATCAGAATGAAATGTGGAATGTAATTTTTTTAAATGTGAGCCTGTGAAGAATTACAACATTGATTTTATATAAGGCGTTCGCATTCATTCTCCCACGACCACCAGGAAGTTTAAAAGCAAACCAGTCCTTCAAAGGCTTTCCAGATCTATGTGTTGATTTTATTCTTCACTATTGAGACACTTGTGATAACAAGGCGGTCTATCTTTGGATATAGGGAAGATTTTTTTTCCCTAAAGGTACGAATCAAATGGGGATATTTATACCTTCTTCTTGCTATGATAGCTTGTAGAAAACACTTTTAATGTCTGTTAATATTTTATGCTGTTCTTCAATTTGCAGGAATATTTAAACATGTTACATGTACATAAATGATTCATTTCTTTAAACATTAGTTTAATACTATGACTAAAACACAAAAATAACTGTGTATGTCTGGTGTGTCTTATGGTGTGAATGCTAATAAAAAGTTTTCAAAATTATTTAAGAAATAAACAACGCTATACAGTGAACATGGCGTTATGAATAGCAATTAATTTGCTGACATATTCCAGCAGAGGTATTGCTATTCATAATGCCACATTACTGAATAATCGTTGTTTATTACTTATATTTGCATTCTTTGATTTTTTTTCAAATTATCAGAGGAAATCCTGACTTACATAAGGACGCGGCTTCTTGTCTTCAGAAATAAAAAACAAACGGCATTAAAATCAGTTCACCTGATCAATTATCCTTTTCTCTAATAAATCACAAACAATTTATAAAGTAATTCCCTCTCAAACACAGTTATCTGGATACAAGCAGCGCCGTCACCACAATCTCTTAATATTTGTTTTGATGCAGTTGTGACGTCATCGATCAACTTTATTGAAACCTCATAATAATAATGATTATTATTCCAGAATGCATTTCTATGATTTTTTTTTTTAGTTTTTCTATTTATTTTTTATATCTGAAATCATTCTTGAAGTAGATATATTAGTAAAAGAAATTTTCTCTCTCTGAATTGTATACCCAAGTGTGAAGAGTTATTGTTCTTTGTACAAATATGCATGATACGAAAAAATAAAAACATGGCAGTTCTCTACAAATTTCACAAAGTTTTATTATACAATTAATACATTGACCAAAATTGAATTTTTGAAGAATTAAATCAGCAATTTTAAATATTCTGAATTTCTTTTTTTTTTTTTTCAAAGAATATTATTAAAAACTTATCTTTATTCCTTTAACAAAACATATATATATATATATATATATATATATATATATATATATATATATATATATATATATATATATATATATATATATATATATATATATATATATATATATATATATATATATATATATATATATATATATATATATATATATATATATATATATATATATATATATATATATATATATATATATATATATATATATATATATATATATATATATATATATATATATATATATATATATATATATATATATGAAATGTTTATATATATATATATATATATATATATATATATATATATATATATATATATATATATATATATATATATATATATATATATATATATATATATATATATGAAATGTTTTGTTAAAGGAATAAAGATAAGTTTTTAATAATATTCTTTGAAAAAAAAAAAAAAGAAATTCAGAATATTTAGAATTATGTTAGTTTAAGAGTTGTTGTAAAATGTGCTTTATAAATAATAATTAATTTCATTACAACATGTATTGGTAACAATCCTCTGTTAAAACTAATGTCCAAATAACTGTATCTCACTTCTATTCTCAATGACCGTGTAGTGTAGGGCAGCGCCGCGAGAATTCCATCGGCATCGAAAGCAAGTTTTTTGACTTGCCTAGATAGCCGAGCGGTCTAGCGCGCTGTTCCTGCACTGCTAGGAGACAGATTTCGAAGGTCGAGAGTTCAACCCCGGGCTGGGGCGGAAGTGGGTATCCATGTAAAGTGAATTTCTTTGTGCTTTCTATATAATATTTCTTCACTTAGGACAGTTATGTTAGTTTAAGAGTTGTTGTAAAATGTGCTTTATATATATATATATATATATATATATATATATATATATATATATATACATAAAGCACTAAAAAACCAACAACACTATGTATAACACTATATATATATATATATATATATATATATATATATATATATATATATATATATATATATATATATATATATATATATATATATATATATATATATATTTATAAAGCACTAAAAATGACCAACGACACGAACAATAAAAAAAAGTTGGTCATTTTTAGTGCTTTATATAAATTTCCATCCGTGACTTTGCATCTACTTGGTAGATCCGACATTTAGGATATACAGTGTTGTTGGTTTTTTAGTGCTATATATATATATATATATATATATATATATATATATATATATATATATATATATATATATATATATATATATATATATATATATTGTAATGTTATGTTGATAAGAAATTTTTCGGTACGACTTAATCGTTCATGGTACGAACTAATTGAGTTCATGCACTTCCGCCCAAGAGGGCACATGTTGTTTATGCAGTTTTCTAACATTGTTTTCGATTACTTGGAGCCCATCAAAGTGTAAGTTTATTCTTTTATCATTGTAATTGATTGAATCATTACATGTAATTGATAATGTCGGTGATAAATAAGCATCTAGGTCTGTTGTTAATGTCAAACTAGTACTTCGCACATGCGAACTTTTTCGCGCCATATTTCATAATTCATAACGTTGAGATAATTATTGTCCATCAATTTAGGGCTGTTAGCTTATGATTCTTTTCTGTTTTTTGTAGCTTTCACTATATTACGTATGTATGTCTAGATGCCTATATATATACTGTGCAAGACGCACTGAATAAAGCATTGTCAACACAACTGTCAAGTGTACTGACTCGGGCTTTACAGTGAAAGACTTTGTACGCAGCTCACGCATCATGTCGTACGTCTCCGTAAGCGCGGAACTCGCCAAAATCCATCTGAAATATGCAGATGAGGAAACTGCATTGAAGAAAGCTCAAGCTGAAATCATATATAAACAGCAATTAATCAAGATGGACCTTGAACTTTTAGCAGAAAAACGTGCTATTGAAGAAATGTATGCTAAGGACAGCACTACTAGTTCAGAGGATTTAACAGATGTTAGTTCGTGGTGTTCGAGTGAATACATGCCAACATCTGTGAAAGCTGAAGAGGAGAACATTCAGAACATTCAGTCAGTTTATTTATCAGCTGAGACACCAGCATTCGTTCCTAGACACGTGGAGCCAAACGCGCCCAAACGTATTAGAGATGGACTCACCTATCACCCTGCACAGCCATTGGTAACAGACCCATCTGCGAGGGAACTCTTCCCCAATCAACCAAAAGCTGCATCTTCAAACTACGTACCTTTACGAGCTAACACACACGATAACAGATTTATCGACACTCGTGGAACACCTTGTTTACCAGAACAATGATGGAAAGACACTGTTCATTCATGGGATTATTCTCCAGAACCTACCTCAGCGTTTGATAGGAATCTGCTTCCTCCCGAAGTAGATCATACGCAACATACAGGGGCTCGTCATGTAGATCAGTGTTCGGACTTTGCGAAATTCCTTCTCAAAAAGGATCTTGTTCTCACAAGACTTTCTAAGTTTGATGACCGACCTGAAAACTACCTAGCTTGGAAACACAGTTTCAAATCAGTGATGAAGGACCTTGACATTAGCGCATCAGAAGAACTGGACTTGCTTGTGAAATACTTGGGCCCTAGCTCAACCCCTCAGGCGATAAGCGTTAGATCATCGAATCCAACAGATCACCAGAGAGGACGGCTTCGAATATGGAATCGACTAAATGACCGATATGGCAGCCCACAAGTGATAGAGGCTGCACTTAAGCGGAAACTTGAAAACTTTGCTAAAATCGGTGTTAGAGAAAAGGAGAAACTTTACGTACTCTCGGATATTCTCTCAGAGATTGAGTCAGCGATGGAGGACCCCCAGCTTAGAGACTTGTTATCGTACTTTAACACTTCCTCTGGTACAACGCCTATTGTCGCAAAGTTACCGCCATCTCTGCAGTCCAAATGGAGAGACAGAGCCGTGAAATATAAGAACAGACACAAGGTGGCTTTTCCTCCCTTTAGAGAGTTCAGTGAATTCATTCGTGAACAGAGTATTATCTGGAACGACCCTGGATTTGTATTCACATGCAACCCGCAGCCAGTTCAGACAGGAAACAGGGGACTCAGTGTAAATAACAGGAAAACAGCTGTGAGAGACTCTATCAATTCTGTGGGATCAAAGTGCCCTATACATAATGCAGATCATAGCTTACAGGACTGTAAGGGATTTCTAAAGCTCTCTATGACAGAAAGGAAGAAGTTCTTGCGAGACCGCAATCTGTGTTTCAAGTGTTGTGAGTCTACGAATCACCGCGCAAAGGACTGTAATGTGCCGGTTAAGTGTAGAGTGTGCTCGAGTGATAAACATTCCACAGCACTGCATGTCGGTGTTACCCATAGGACTCAAAGCAATCCTGAGCCTTTGGTCAGTGAAGCAGCTGAGCTCCATGGCGGGGAGCCACAAACCTCTTTGTGTACAGAAGTATGCGGACCAGGATTTTCTGGGAAATCCTGTGGGAAAGCGGAACCTGTGCGTGTTTACTCCGCTGACACACCTCAGAACTATTATCATACTTACGCTCTTATTGACGACCAGAGCAATAGGACACTTGCTCGTTCTAAACTCTTTGATGCTCTGTGTAGCCCAAAGACACAGTCAGTGCAGTATACCCTGTCAACTTGTGCTGGACGCTCAATTGTGACTGGAAGAAAGATATCTGGACATAATATAGAATCACTAGATGGAACATTTAGAATGACCATTCCACCAGTTATCGAATGCAATAACATGCAAAAATGATCGTCAAGAGATCCCTACACCAGTGGTGATAACACACTTTGAACACTTAAAAGGTATTCCGATCCCACCTCTTGATGAGAAAGCAAACATTTTACTTCTTATTGGAAGAGACTTACAAGAAGTACACCATGTGCTGGAACAGAAGACGGGGCCAAGGACTGCTCCATTTGCCCAGCGGCTACCACTCGGTTGGGTAGTGATTGGTAACGTTTGTCTAGGAGATACATGTACACCAACAACTGTAGCTAGCGTCAACAAAACTACAATCCTGAGTAGTGGACGACTATCTGCATTTGAACCATGTGATAATCACTTAGCTGTTTCAATAAATACTGGGAAAGGTGACAGAATTGGACAGGATGTGTTTGTTCGGACAAAGGATGACGAGAATGAGGGATACTCTGTCGAGGACCGACGGTTCATGAAAATCATGGATAAGGAGTTTAAGAAAACACCAGATGGTCATTGGGAAGCCCCATTACCGTTTAAGGAGTCACGTTCCGCTTTACCCAATAATAGAGAGGAAGCGCTGAAACGTGCGCGGATCCTACAGAAGAGTCTTCAACGAGACCCTGTGAAACGAGACCATTTTCGCACTTTCATGACAAAGCTGCTACAGAATGGACATGCAGAAGTGGCGCCACCACTTGATGCAGAACAAGAGTGCTGGTATCTACCGTTATTCGGAGTGTACCATCCACGGAAAAGGGACCAGGTTAGAGTGGTTTTCGATTCTTCCGCTAATTACAAGGGAATCTCACTAAACGCTGTTTTGATGTCAGGACCTGTGCTTATGAACAGTCTAGTTGGTGTCCTACATCACTTCCACAAGGAGCCAGTTGCTGTAATGGCAGATATACATGTACAGCAGATGTTTTATGGATTTTTCGTGACAGAGAATCATCGCAATTTCTTGTGTTTCTTTTGGCACCGGGACCATGATCCCCACAAAGAGCTACTTGAGTATAGGATGTGCGTCCACGTTTTTGGAAATTCCTCTTCTCCGGCGGTTGCGACCTATGGTCTCCGTCGTTGTGTGGAACAGTCTGAGGATCCGGAAGTGAAGGAATTTGTTAACAACCAATTCTACGTGGACGATGGTTTGGCATCCTTCCCAACAGAAGAGGAAGCTATAAGTGTATTACAGAAGACACGAGAGACTCTGTTTCAAGAGGGACAACTTAAGCTCCAAAAGATAGCGTCCAACAGTAAGACTGTTATGAACAGCTTTTGCACAGAGGACTTAGCAAGTGACTTAAAAACTTTAGATATTGCTAAGGCTGACTTACCTTTGCAGCACAGTCTTGGGCTGGTCTGGGACCTCAACACAGACACATTCACATATCAAGTGCGGGACGATGAGAAGCCATTTACCAGGAGAGGCGTGCTGTCTGTGGTCAATAGTCTATTTGACCCCCTCGGAATGATCGCACCAGTCGTACTCCAGGGAAGGATCCTGATGCGTGACTTGATAGCTGAGACTATAGATTGGGACGACCCATTACCAGAGTGTCGCATAAAGGACTGGAGGAATTGGAAGGACTCTTTAAAATCTCTGGAACATCTTCAGGTTCCCAGATGTTTACTTCAGCATTCCTACGAGGACAGTGATGTGAAACGTTTGCATGTGTTTTCAGATGCCTCAGAGCAAGCGATTGCTGCTGTCGCATTCCTGCAAGCTATTGACAATAATAGAACCATTCATATAGGCTTCACATATGGGAAATCCAAGATAGCACCAAAACATGGCCACACCATACCGAGGCTCGAACTCTGTGCGGCAGTGTTGGCTGTTGAAGTCGGTGAGATGGTATCTCAACATCTCGGACTGGAATTGAGTGACATTCGGTACTATTCAGATAGTCGAGTGGTATTAGGATATTTACAGAATACAAGTAGACGGTTCTACATTTACGTCAGCAACCGTGTTGCAAGGATCCACAGGTCATCTCAACCTGATCAGTGGAACTACATAAGGACCGAGATAAATCCTGCAGACTCAGGAACAAGAATCATGTTGGCATCTCAACTTCAGGATAGTTCATGGCTGAAAGGTCCGGACTTCTTATACACAGAAACTAAGTCTGATTTGAGTGCAGGTTTTCATCTTGTCAACCCTGAGAGTGATCGAGAGATTCGTCCTGAGGTTACTACATGCAAGACCAACACGGATGGCATGGAAAAAGTAGGATATCTCAGAACATCTCGTTTCAAGCGATTTTCCAGTTGGAAATCTCTCTTATCTGCAATAAGAGTGTTGCTGCGATTTGCAACAAAGTTCAGAAAGAAGAACAAAGAGACTAAAACTAATGACACAGAACTTATCAAGCAGGCAGAGAACCAAATTGTTAGAGCAGTGCAGCTAGATACCTACCCTAGAGAGACTGAAGCTCTAATGGATGGCAGACCCATACCGCGGACAAGCTCCATTCTAAAGCTTGCGCCCTTTATAGATGACGAAGGGATCATAAGAGTGGGAGGTAGACTCCAGGATATCAGACCTACCATATCGTGAGAAACATCCAGTCTTGCTTCCAGGGAAACATCATGTTGCATCATTGATTGTTAGACATTTCCATGAACAGACTGAGCATCAGGGAAGACATCTCACAGAAGGCGCCGTGAGGAAAGCAGGATTCTGGATCACTGGAGGGAAACGCCTTATATCCTCCATACTCTTTCATTGTGTAATCTGTCGGAGATTGCGAGGAAAGTTTGTAGAACAAAAGATGAGTGACTTACCTAGAGAACCGTTTGACGCCTTGTTCACCGTTCACATTTGTTGGTGTTGACGTGTTCGGTCCATGGGATGTGTTGACCAGACGCACACGTGGAGGAAATGCCAACTCGAAACGTTGGGCTGTGATATTTACTTGCTTGTACTGTCGAGCAGTACACTTTGAACTCATTGAGGAAATGAGTACAGGATCATTCATCAATGCTATGAGGAGATTTTATGCTATTCGTGGTGAAGTCAAAGAATTTAGATCCGATCGAGGTACCAATTTTATTGGCGCTGCCGACGCCCTACACATGAAGGTCATCAATGTAGAGGACTCAGAAACGATCTCAATCTTGGAGGACCATAGAACTGTGTGGAAATTCAATCCCCCTCATGCGTCCCATATGGGTGGGGTATGGGAGCGGCTTATCGGAGTTGCGAGACGCATTCTGGATAACATGCTCAGAAACCCAGCCAATCAGAACCTTACTCATGAAGTTTTGTCTACCTTAATGGCAGAAGTCAGCGCAATAATCAACGCGAGGCCTATCGTATCAGTTTCCACTGACCCAAACTCACCGTTTATTCTTACACCATCAGTTCTGTTAACACAGAAGACTGGGACCATGACACAGCATCCTGTGGAGTTGGATACTAAGGAGATGTATCGCTCACAATGGAAATACGTCCAGATCCTGGCGAACACCTTTTGGAAACGTTGGAAATCTGATTACTTGTCAACTTTGCAGTCGAGACAGAAGTGGGAGTCCGTGAATGAGAACTTGAAAGTCGGTGACATCATTCTCTTGCACGACCGAGATGTACCTCGTAATCAGTGGCCATTAGGAGTGGTATTGCGTGTGTTCCCTAGCGACGATGGTTTGGTCCGAAAGGTGGAAGTACAGGTTGTTCGAGGAGATGCAACGATTGTATATGTTCGCCCTGTGTGTGAAATTGTGAAACTCTTGTCTGTGTAAGGTGCAAACTGTGCATTTGGATGTGAATTGATGTTTATATTGATATTATTTTATTCTAGTCACTAGTAGTGATGTTGATTGTATTTGCAATGTATGTTATGATATTAGCATATCAGGCGGGGAGTGTAATGTTATGTTGATAAGAAGTTTTTCGGTACGACTTAATCGTTCATGGTATGAACTAATTGAGTTCATGCACTTCCGCCCAAGAGGGCACATGTTGTTTATGCAGTTTTCTAACATTGTTTTCGATTACTTGGAGCCCATCAAAGTGTAAGTTTATTCTTTTATCATTGTAATTGATTGAATCATTACATGTATTTGATAATGTCGGTGATAAATAAGCATCTAGGTCTGTTGTTAATGTCAAACTAGTACTTCGCACATGCGAACTTTTTCGCGCCATATTTCATAATTCATAACGTTGAGATAATTATTGTCCATCAATTTAGGGCTGTTAGCTTATGATTCTTTTCTGTTTTTTGTAGCTTTCACTATATTACGTATGTATGTCTAGATGCCTATATATATACTGTGCAAGACGCACTGAATAAAGCATTGTCAACACAACTGTCAAGTGTACTGACTCGGGCTTTACATATATATATATATATATATATATATATATATATATATATATATATATATATATATATATATATATATATATATATATATATATATATATATATATATAAAGCACTAAAAATGACCAACGACACGAACAATAAAAATTGTCAAATTTTCGGGACGCCCTGTCCCTTCCTCAGGACAAAGAAAAAGTTAAAAAGTCATAAGAACAAGGGAAAAAGAGTAACAGAAAACAACTGGCACTACTACTAAACTACTAAACATTTACATACTTAGTTACATATTGATTTGGAAATTTTTAAGAACACTATTTAAGAAAGAATCCGGACCGCTATGAAATACGTCCGGTCTATCGGGTATACTCGGGTGAAGTGCGATTTACATAACTGGACGAAGAAAAGTAATAATACAGAAGGGGCATTTTAACATATGAATTATGATATCATAAACTTTAATTTGAAATGTTTAGGACTAATTATTGGTAAAAAATAATTAATAATTAATTAACAAAGGCGTAAGCAATACATAGTTATGTGGGTTGTTCGAGAGTTGGTGACGCAAATTAACTGTAGAGTTTAGACTAAATTGAGATAATAATCTTGTTTGGTGTCATCAGGAATCGGGTCTAGTTTACGTTCATTCTGGTGAAGTCATTCAGTTTGTTAATACCATTGGGGCGGAATGACTTCAATCTGTGCATCCAGAACTTTTCTTTGCTTTTTCTCTGAGCGTCTGTCCATCTTGGGTTATGGTCAATCACCACTACTGTCATGTCCTCCCATTTGTGACCCTCAAGGTTGAAATGTTCCCCAACGGGTTCATTGAGTTTTTTGGTCCTAATGGTCGAACGGTGGTTATTGACTCTCCTGCGGAGATCTCCTGTTTCACCAATATACTGTTTGGAGCAAACTTTGCAACTGATGAGATAAATTTAGTTGTCAGTATGACAGGACAAATTTCCTAGTATTTTGTAGCTGCGGCCTGTAACTGGGCTGTTAAAACTGTCTGTGTCAGTGCTGTGCTTACAAAGAAGACATCTTCTGTCAGAGCAAGTTTTAAAGCCCCCGTCAGGTAATGGGTTGTCCAGTCTGGTTCTTTCTACCATGTCCTTTAGGTTCCTAGGGCGTCTGTATGCAGCCAGTGGGGGTTCCTTAAAGACCTCTGCCATTCGTTTGTTTGAATGGAGAATTGGTAGGTTTTTTTGAAGGATACCGCTCAGGTTCTTAAGGACGGGATGGTATGTGGTTACCAGAGGGACCCTACCGCTATTGTCTTTCTCCTTGTAGCGTAATAGGTTTTGCCTGTCATGTCCCGCCATCTCAACAATAGCTGTTTGTACGTTGCGGGCATTGTAGCCTCTTTTGCATTGGTGGGACTTAAGAAGACCACTTTGCTCCTGATATATGGCAGGGGACGAACAGATGCGTCGAATTCTGGTGGCTAGACCCTTAGGCACTCCCTTATAAGTGTGGGGGATGACAGCTAGTGGGCATAAGATATAGGTGGGAATCTGTGGGTCTGGTGTGGAGACTGAATTCGATTTCACCATCAATCAGGGTAGATGTGGTATCTAGAAATACGTTTTTCGAATTAGATACGTCTACTGTAAAGAACTGTATTCGGTAATAACCAATATCTGCCCCCCAAATCAAACTTTGATGGAGATATATTTAATTAAGTTTTTTAACAGGGGAGTATATGCTGACTTCCGAGCACTAAATATTTTCATAAGTAATGACGTCATATGTACGTAATGACGTCACAAACATGACGTAAATTTCAGTTTTTTTTTAATGAATTTTATTGAAAAATGAACATATTTCGTCAATATTTTGAGTAAAAGTCACCGAGCGCATGTGTGTTCAGTATCAGTATTTTGATATAATGTGTGGAATGAGAATATCAATGAAATATGTCAATATTGTTTCTGAACAAACTTGCGCTCTATAAATTGTAAAGCTAAAATTGTTGAAATTTTGTCAATTTTGTCCTCTTTCTGAAAAAGGATATAAAATCGGACTAGTTTGTGACGTCATAAAAACAACAATTGTAAATACACTGCTTTGAAACTATAATATTTTCTGTTAATTTATATTTCTCATACAATTTTTTGAATTCAGCACATTTCAGGAAGTTTTCAAAATTTGGGCTTTTGCGGGGGCAAATATATGCAATATACCGCATATAGTTCTTTGATCGACTGATGAAAGGTGTTGGCAAACGTAATGAATGCCTCGAGGCTCTTGCGACATTCCACCCACTTCATCTCTATATCGTCAATAAAACGCAACCAGCTATGGGGCCTGAATGGTGCTTGAAGTAACAAGTTGCGTTCCAGTCTGCCCATGAAGACATTGGCATAAGACGGTGCCATTTTCGTACCCATAGCAGTGCCATTTACCTGCAGGTAATGTTCTCCATTAAACATGAAGTCGTTGAACTTGAGAACGTGTTCAAGGAGCTTGGCAAGGGACTCGGTAGAAGGAATTTGTATGGACCTACTATCCCAGACTTCTCTACAGGCTTCGATACCCTCATCGTTCGGAATGTTGGTGTACAAAGATGTGACGTCCATAGTCACGAGGAGGGTATGATCAGGGAGGCCAGTAGAGGGCGTCTTGTTAATGTAGTCCGTGGTGTCCTTGAGATAGGATGGCAAATTCTCTACGTGTGGACGGAGATGTAAATCAATGAATTCAGAAATTTTCTCCGTGGGGTGTCCATTTGCGCTGACTATGGGCTGACCTGGCATGCCTTCTTTGTGTATTTTAGGAAGCAGATAGAATTGTCCTGGTCTACAGTCAATAGGATTAAAGGTCTCATAGACGTTGATACCAATCTCATTTTTCTCAAACATATCGTCAAGAGTTTTGGTAATGGCGGTGGAGAATTCTTTAGTAGGGTCAGAGTCCAGTTTCTTATAGAAACGTTCGTCTGAGAGTTGTCTTTGGGCCTCCGCCATGTAAGTCTCTTTATCCAATACGACAACTGTAGATCCTTTGTCTGCTTTCTTGATTACAATGTCATCCCGATTTTTTAATGATTGTAAGGCAGATCCCTCTTCCTTACTCAAATTGTCGGGAGTCTTGTCTGGCATTGAAAGGAGCTTCTCTATGTCTGACTCAACGGCGTCAATATACGACTCAAGCGCGCCACACTTGCCCGGTGCAGGTTCCCAGTCACACTTGGGCCTATAGAGTTTGTGTTCCTCTAGATCGTGTAAATCTGGCTTGGAAGAGTCGTAAGAATTTACTTCGGAGTCTTTTCTAGAGAAGTGCTCCTTCAAACGAAGTCTCCGGAAGAATGCTCGGGTGTCCTCTCTGACTTGTTTTTCGTCGACCTCATGTGGCGTGGGGCAGAAATTCAGCCCCTTGGAAAGAAGTGAGGTCTCCGACTCGGAGAGAGGAGCACTAGATTTATTGAGCACTGGGCACATGTCAGGAGTTTGTATGGGTCCGTCCCTCGCGATTGTCTTAGTGCGCTTGAAGCGTCTCTAGCGAGGTTTACGTGTTTTGTTAACTCTGACTTCTGACCAGTTGTTCCTAGACTGTGGAACACTGTCGCGGAGAAATTTCTTTTTTTGAGTCTTGTTGACTTTATTTGTTAGGGCCATGTTATAGGTGTCTATAATATTATGGTCTTCATCAAGATCGGAATTGGACATGATATCGTTGAGGGATGATTCTAAGGACTTGATCTTACTCTTCAATTGTCCTAGCTTGTGGATATCCCAAGAAAGACAGAGTGACATCATCTGTTTAGAACATGTCCTTGTTATAACGTCCCAGCGTTCCTGAAAGCGTTTGGAGATTGGCCCTATGTTAGGCGTAACATTTATCTGAAAGCCTTTCGGTATAATGTTACACTCTAAGTAGGTCTGTAAATTGGAGACCCGGTGTTCAGTTTTTATTGATTTTTGGTGTTCTTTCTTCAAAAGTTTGAATGTTGGGTTATCTTTTATGGACATATTTGAAAATAAATAATTGCCAAAATGATAAGACTACTTTAAATATTTTAGTCGTGTGAAGTCGAAAGATTCAACGAACGATTGTTCTGGATTCTTATGTATTTCGTAGATAATTCGTGCAAGAATTCAAAAAATTAAAAACAAATGTTACATGAGTAAAAATCGAAAGGGAAAAGTGGAAAGAACTAATTTGCAATGGTTGGATACCAAAAAAAAATAATAAAAAAAGTCAAATAATGAAAGAGATAACCAGAAATAAATGATAGGAACAGAAAATTGGATAAAGAAATGATGGATATACGGGTTGATCTGTGAAGATACAGTTGGCGAAAAACGATATAAAAGGCACTTAAAAACAACAACACTATATATCCTAAATGTCGGATCTACCAAGTAGATACAAGGTCACGGATGGAAATTTATATAAAGCACTAAAAATGAC